CATCCCATCCCACCCCAGGGGAGGACATCCATCACACAGTAATCTCGTGTGTGGGAAATTAACGTCTCCTGCCCCAACCCTGCAGGAGACGGGACCTCCATTAATTCGTCCCTATCCGAGAAGACTAGAATATCTAACCATTTCTTGATGTTATAGAAAGGTAGCAAATTTTTCTCAATTATTTTAAGACCTTGAGTGTTGGTCCGGCCGGGGCTCGAACCCTCGACCTCCCGCACAACAGTCCAGCGCTCTATCCATTGGGCTAACTGCGCGGCGGTTTAACATGACAGCAACTGAACTTGACTAAAGACGAACAACATGCACTGAAATGACTGAGAAACGACGAGAACATAGTCATTCTACCAGCCGACAAAGGACGAGTTACTGTTGTCATAGATAAAAATGACTATCACGACAAAATGGACGTACTAGTTAACGACAAACAAACGCTACGAAGAACTCAAATGTGACTCGACTCCTGCACTTGGACGCAAACTCAACAGTAAACTACTGACACTCAAGAAGGCGAACGCCATTGACACCCAACGGTACTATCGACTAAGGTGCTCAGTACCACAGCCACCGAAACTCTATGGTTTCCCGGAACTACACAAACCAGGTTTCCCGATGCGACTTATTGTTTCTTTCTGTGGTTCTCCGAGATACAAACTATCCAACTACCTGACGACAATACCACAATCGCTGACCGACAAATCCAGACGTAAACTACAATACACTGAGGACTTCATTAACGCTGTACAAGACTGTACAGATACCAGATGACTACAAACTAGTATCATTTGATGCGAAATCACTGTTTACAAGTATTCCACTTCAATTGGCACTGCAATGTACTGAGACTGCAATCCGACATTCTACCGACTCAATACCGCTACCGACAGACGACGTTATGAACTTACTAAACCTTTGCCTAACGTCAACTTACTTTCAGTACAACGGTAAACACTGAAAGCAGTTACACGGCACAGCCATGGGGTCTTCCAGTTTCTGTTGTTGTCGCAGAAATTGTGATGCAGAACATCGAGGAACGCGCCCTTTCGACTTGCCTTCAGGCGATGCCGCTTTGAAGAAGACACAGGTTGTTGTTGCAGGCCAAGAGTTAGTTTAATTGATAACACTAAAAATGTTTTGATATAACTTTACTCTGATGAGTACTAAAGCAGATACGATGAATATATGAAGTTCATATATTTTGAACTGCGGTTATAGATACGTATGATGCACGATCCTCGCATTAGAGAGCGCTATTTATGCAATAGCGAAAATCAGACCTGAAAAAATCAGGCCTGTACGGGATTCGAAGCACTGACCTCTGCGATGCTAGTGCAGGGCTGTACCAATTAAGCTGGGAGCAGGCCATTAAGTTGATTTTCGCTATTGCATAAATAGCGCTCTCTACTGCGAGGATCGTGCATCATACGTATCTAATACCGCAGTTCAAAATATATAAACTTCATATATTCATTGTATCTGATTTATCATCAGGGGTTTATCACGAATCAACTCATTCATTTATTCATTGTAAATATGCAATTAAAATCTGTAGATAATACAAAATCAATCAATGTGTAACTGTGAAGCTGCAAATCTAACATTAAGCAGTTAAGAGAATCATTTACGCTAGTTGTAAAAATTTCATTTCTCAGAGATGACTATTTTGAGTTTAATTTAAGGTTGTTGGTTTCTAGCTCATGACGTCATAATGACACGACCACCGTCGTTATCGATCAGTTGGAATAACCAGCGCTCTCCTTTCGCAGAAATACGCAAAGCTCAGAGCTTTTTGTCAGTGAAGTGTGATTACAACTCAACGATTCGATTTGAAAATGAGCAACAACCCGCAGGCCATAGTGGCTATTAAAGAAGAGCACATCGTTATCGATGGGGTTCGATTGAAGAAGAAGACAGCAGTTGTCGCTACAGAGCAAGGGTTAGTTGAGCTGATAACACTGCTTTAATTTAACATGTTCCGTTACACCGCTAGATGCGTTCACGGTGATGAGATCTGATTTCCTGTTTAATCCCTGTAAAGAGGATCCTGTTAAGTCTTTAAAACGTTGATTCCTCCCATAATTTTTTCTGCTTTAAGGGAATCCAAAGGTTAGATGCGAGCCACTTTGATTGACTTTGTTACGAAGCGGAAGTACTTCTGAGTTCCGAATTAAACCTCTTAGTAGCCTTTCTCATGCTGCATGTAGCCGAGAATTTACCTAATCCTTTGTGCCTGTCATTTAAATCTGCTCTTATATTTTTAATTGGTAAAATTTGCTTATAAAACTGACGTGAGTATTTTGCATATTTTTTCTCGAAGATATATATGCAAAACTTTGATAGCTTTGATTATATCTTTTGTTTTGGTCTTCATACTTCAATGATTAAGCAAAACTTCCCAACTTTGTTTCTATGGCTTTCATGTTTAATGTTAAAACCATTCCATTTTTTCTCGAAGAAATATATGCAAACCTTTGATAAGTTTACTTTGTTTGCATACTCCAAAGATTAATATTACAACAATCCTTAAGTTTAAGCATGCTACACTGATTTGGTGGCAGAAACATTTCAATATCGTTGCAACCCTGTCAGTTCGATTTCGGGGTTATTTCGATTTGAACTGAGTCAGAATGTAAACAGTGTTGACCAGCTTTATGTTCACCTCGCTTAAATTTCTTTCAGCGTCATTACCAGGGAAGTGATAGAGGCAAGTGAAATCCGAAGGTAAAAACCATCAATGAAGAAATGTTAGCCTTAAATTTAAAAGAGTTTTATCACTAAATTTTGAGTCTCAAGGTCACTTCAACCTGGGTTTAGGGTTGGGGAGACGACAATATTCGGCAGTAAGCAAGGATGGTGAAGAAAGGGCAATATCATAACACATTGTAAATGGGAACTTCATCAATTGAGGCAAAACGGGATGCGGCCTCGGTTGATAACAATAATCACTGAATAATAATAATCACCCTATCACATTCAAAGTTGTTGTTTGAATCAAAATTTAAATTTTCCCTTTCTTTCACAGCTTGGCTGTATTTCTTTTCTCGGAAATTGTAATGTTTTTAATAAATTGGTAATAAGACTTCGTGTCGTCCAATTCAGTTTGTTATCATACTCGTGCGGTGGCCCATAAGTGTCACGGCAAAAACAAGACAAAGCGAACTCACGCCAAGACAACCGCAACGAACTCGCGGCAACACAACGCCATTTTACACGGCGGAAGTGAGAAGCCACGGCAGAAGTGAAATGCCACGGCAGATGTAGCCTTATAGCTACTCCATTACAGGCCATAATATGTTTTTGTGAACTATGGGGGAGTCCGTTGAAGTTGACCTGGAAGACGAGTACTTGAGGTTGCCAGAAGACGACGAAGAAGGCCTCATCCGCTATTCCCCATTTAAAAAACGAGTGGGGGAGTGGGTCGAGTTCGCCGCGCAAGGTTGTCTGGGATTTATTTATTTTATTTATTTAATCGCTTCGCCAACCGGCAGGGACACCGCAACAGCTTGCGCCAATTACTGCGGACCCAATAAACCCACCCATCCCACCCCAGGGGAGGACATTCATTACACAGTAATCTCGTGTGTTGGAAATTAACGTCTCCTACCCCAATCCTGCAGGAGACGGGACCTCCATTTATTCGTCCCTATCCGAGAAGAATAGAATATCTAACCATTTCTTGCTGTTATAGAAAGGCAGCAAATTCTTCTCAATTATTTTAAGACCCTGAGTGTTGGTCCGGTCGGGGCTCGAACCCTCGACCTCCCGCACAACAGTCCAGCGCTCTATCCATTGAGCTAACCGGAAGGCGGTTACTCAGGACGCAATTCTTTGTTTACTACAGATTTGTGTCCCGAGTAACGATACCAGACAAACTTTCGCGGCGAGCTCGACCCACTCCCCCGTTGGTTTTTGAAATGGAGAATTATTTCTGCAGGGGCTTCGAGTACGAAGAGAATGACATTTTGGCGTGACACTTATGGGCCACCTTCAGTCACGCGTGATACACAAATCTGCCTCCTGCAGTACTTAGTCCTATTATCATTACTTATTACTAGTATTAAAATGTCTAAAAGCATTATCATAGCAAAAATGAAATAGAAATGATAATAACAATCGCAATAACGAAAATTGTCAAAACCTCCTCCATTAAGCTCCCGTTACAATGATCTCGAAGCGTTTATTTCCTATTTATCTATCTTGTCAAACAAAATATCTTGCTGGCTACTCTTCTAAATGAAAAAGTAGTGCATTGTTTAATGAATGTAATACACGTCTTGTACATCTAAAAGTTTCTGGTCAAGAGCACTCATTTTGCTTCTTTAAAGTGTTTTGAATTGGTTTTTTTTTTCCTTTTCAGCGGTCCTCCAATTGTTCAGGCTAGGTAAGTTCTGTTCGCGTATTTTTGTATAGCATTTTGGAAGAACGTTGAGCGGTTACATATACTTCATGTAATTAGAGTTTGTGCGGAAGAAAAAATCTGCAAAGTGTCACAAGGATTTTGAAAAGATTTGACGTCACATCCAAAATTATGGAAGAATAAAAAGATAAACACCTTGCAATTTGGTCTCTTGCAGAACATCTCCTGCACTACCTCCACCTGGAGTGATTGTAGTAGATTCTCGACCACCTCCAGATGACGGCTGCATAGACACTTGTTTCAAGTGTGAAAGCGGCTACGAGTGGTACAGCTTAAGAGGGAAAGGTAGGTATTCAAATGTTTTTAGAGCCTCACTTTCAGGACTCCTTGAAACTCATAGTTGTGGCGCAGAATTTCTACCAAGATTTAAAAGATGACGCGTGATCCTCGACGATGAGCAGAAATTAAAGCATTTGCAGAAAGGAGCCTGAAAAACTTCAAGCTTCGACGGGATGCGAATCCTTGTCTCCTAGATACTTCTTAGGCGCTATTACCAACTGAACTGCGAAGTCATGCGTTGGGAGCGAGACGCTGGAGTTTTAGGCTTAAAACAGATTCTTAATTGATTATGTTTCTAAGCGCTTATTTTCTTAATCATTTTTCAGGTGTGTGCATTGTCATGTTGCTCCTTTTGGGTTACTTGATTGGTGGAGTGATCATTTTGGCAATATACTTGGTGTTCTGTGTCCTGGCATGCCTTTTTGGTTGTAACAACTCAGATAACTAAGCAACACAGTTAATCAGTGGTCTATCATGGAGCAGAATTTAGATTGAACCGATTAGTCTAGAGCGTGTTCTCTGAAAGTTTTAATCTATACTAATTGGGATTCCCCATCTTCGAATTTCACTCTCCTGAGCCAAGCACCAGCGTGTTATTTGTAGAAAGCTTTCTCAAATTACAACTACTATCTCAGGAGATTCGATGTTGGACTTACCAATAAAAGTACAACTCAACTATAGATTCTGTACTTAGGTAGAAAAATAAAAATATTGAACCTCAGAAAATAGTGGATATTAAAATCAAGAGTGCGAAAACTAAAGCGTAAACAACACTTAAACAGAAATACTTTTAAACTTTCCACGCATGTTCTAAACTCCCTTCCGTTTGTTCAGTTCGGAATTGCCATATTTGAACCCCATCAAATGTGAAAATATTAGACGAATTTGTCACCGCCTCTTTTAGCACCATTATCGATAAATGCAGTAAATGGTTTGAACCCGGGGGCAACATATGTAAGTGTAGTGTGATCGTCCGGGTGAGTGTTGTCCTGAGAAGGACTGTTGCCATGCAGTGGTGGTGACTGACCTTTCGAAAAGCTGTGCGGAAGTCATCATTAGAGTCAAGTGAATAGTTGTCAGTAGACTGTTCTTAGTCCAGTTCGCGTAAAAATGATCGGTCAGTTTTACCGTGATGTTATTGGCTGTAAGACTCAAGTGGCGTGAGTCGGTCGCGATTGGTCTGTTCCGATCCATCGGTATAGTTAGCTAGGTCGTTCTGTTCAGTTCGTTTGTAACGTTAATGTCGTGAATGAGTCATTTCTGTGAAGCTGGTAGTAGTTGACACCTGTTTAGGCGAGTCTGCTCTAAGTTAGTAAACTTAGATTCAGTTAGTAAACTTAGAGTCAGTCGTTGAAAGTAGTTAGTACTGTCGGTTATGCATTGCGCAGAGTCACAGGCAGTAATGTGGTTCGTAAGTAGATGATGTTCAGCAATGTAATTGTTAATTGACATCACCTTTCCTCGTCGCCTGTCTATGTTCAGTCAGTCTTGTTGCGAGGTTTCAGCCAGTCTCTCCAGTGTAGGAGGCTTGACAGTCGGCGCAACTGATCTTCTAAATCACTACCTGTCTGTTCCTCGGTTCGTCCTTGTCTAACCGCCTCCCGGTTAGCTCAATTGGTTAGAGCGCCGGACTGTTGTGCGGAAGGTCGAGAGTTCGAGCCCCGACCGGACTAATACTTAAGGTCTTAAAATAACTGAGGAGAATGTGCTACCTTTCTATAATATCATGAAATGGATAGACATTCCATTCTTATCGGATACGGACGAATAAACCGTAGGTCCCGTCACCTGCATATATTGGTTGGTTAATAAGGTTAAGCAGGGGATGTTAAAGAACCCACTCACGAGATTATTGTGTTGTGGTCTAGCCTGTTTACTGGGAATTGGGGGGAGGGGGCATCTTCAACTTCCTTTGATTCGTTGTAAACTGCTACAAGCAGTCTGGCAAAGTCCCCCGCACAGTGTTGTAGGAATGGCCCTGAAAAGCCCCAAGGGGAGTGGTCATCTAACCCATCCAAGAATCGAATCCAATCCAATCCAATTCGAATCGAGTCTTTAACGTTGGTTAGTAACTGACGTAGTGTGGCGATGGGTTTGTGGGCAACCCGGATATTGAAGGGCTGTCAGATGCGCAAGATGTTCTCAGACATGCCTTTTATGTACGGTATGCTTACTGTGGTCGTAGAAGTTGCGGTGTTGTTTGTTTCGGTAGTAGTAGTAGGTCGGTGAGTGTTTCGTCGGATGAAGTCGTTGTTGTAGTTGCTCTTTGAAAAAGCATGGTCAAGGTATTTGTTCTCGTCGGATAAGCTGTCTGTTAGAGTTTTGATAGTTGTGGTTTTGTGTGATGTAGGGCTGTAAGATGACTCGTCAAGGAATCTGTCGGTGTGTGTCTGGTTCAAACCATTTATTGCATTACGTTCACTTGGACGACCGTGAGTGCGAAAGACTTGCGAACGACTAACTCACCTACGCAAGCACTGTCAGACGAATACGACAACAACTCTGATTCAACCACCTTGTTCCCGTCGAGCTTAAACTTAAGTCCCCGCTGAACACACAGGAGGCTCATCAAGATCGTCAAAGCCACCGGCAGACGACTGGTCAAAGTTCGGATAAATGATTGTCACAGAAGACTCAAACGCTACGAAAACAAACTACGACAAACTGAAACAAATGATACCAACTGACTTACTTGACACTGTTTCGACAATTGTCGACGAACAAACCAACAATACGACTGAACGCGCACGTACTGGATATAAACGGAAACTGACACGACTGCTATGCGATAAAGAACAGAGGCAAAGTAAACCGGACAACAACTGGATAAGTAACATCTCTTCCCGTTCCTTAGTCAAGAGTGAAACTCGCGTACTGGCAAACGGACTAAACACTCAGTAACACCGAGTCTATTGTATCTAGTGTTGAAGCGGCTCTGTCTCGGCGTCTCGGATAGGACGTAAAGCTGGAGGTCCCGTCTCCTGCATCTATCAATTAGTTAATTTCGGCAGGGGACGTTAAAGAACCCACATCACTAGATTACTGTGATGTGGTCTGGCCTGGTTACTGGGAATATGAGAAGGGGGCATCTGTAAAATTTACTCTTTATTTATTGTAAACTGCCGACGGCAGTCTAGAAAATTCCCCCGCACAGTGTTGTAAAGCGCATTAGAGCATTCCATGGAAATGCGCTATAGAAATCGATATGTATTATTATTAACGACAGCTATCTGAGCCGACCAAGGATAACATCAGAAACAGAATTTCCCCCACTGTACAATCAGCGTCACTGCATGACACCAACTTGACGAAAGACTGACAACATGCACTGAAATGACTGAGAAACGACGAGAACATAGTCATTCTACCAGCCGACAAAGGACGAGTTATTGTTGTCATGGACAAAAATGACTATCACGACAAAATGGACGTACAAGTTAACGTCAAACAAACGCTACCAAGAACTCAAATGTGACTCGACTACTGCACATGGACGCAAACTCAACAGTAAACTACTGACACTCAAGAAGACGAACGCCATTGACACCCAACGGTACTATCGACCAAGGTGCTCAGTACCACAGCCACCGAAACTCTACGGTTTGCCGAAACTACACAAACCTGGTTTCCCAATGCGACCTATTGTTTCTTTCTGTGGTTCTCCTACCTACCAACTATCCAAGTGTCTGACGACAATACTACAACCGCTGATCGACAAATCCAGACGTAAACTACAATCCATTGAGTACTTCATTAACGCTACCAAGACTGTACAGATACCTGATGACTACAAACTTGTGTCATTTGATGTGAAATCACTGTTTACAAGTATTCCACTTCAATTGGCATTACAATTTACTGAGACTGCAATCCGACATTCTACCGACCCACTACCGCTACCGACAGATGACTTTGTGAACTTACTCAACCTTTGCCTAACGTCAACTTACTTTCAGTACAACAGTAAACACTACAAACAGTTACACGGCACAGCCATGGGGTCTTTCAGTTTCTGTTGTCGTAGCAGAAATTGCGATGCAGAACATCGAGGAACGTGCCCTTTACTTGCCCACAAACGATACCGCTTTGAAGAAGACACAAGTTGTTGCTCCAGGGTAAGGGTTAGTTTAATTGATAACACTTAAAAATGTTTTGATATAACTTAACTCTGATGAGTTCTGCAGTGTAGGTACAACTGTAAATCTGTTATTCGTTCACGGGTATGAAATCTAATTTCCTCTTCAACCATTGTAGATGAAAGGAAAGTTGTTTTAGTCGGCTAGCAAATGCAGTGGTTTAATGGTAGTCAGTTTTGTTGACTTTATGACCGAATCGTAATTAAAGCTATACAAGCAAGGATTGTTTCAATTAGACGTGCAAGAGGCGGGGTATGAGCACCATGGAATCCGAGATAGCTTACTAAAAAGTCGAGAGTAGAAATGAACACTTAAAATTGTTTTGATATAACTTCACTCTGATGAGTTCTGCAGCGAAGATACAAATGTAAATTTGTTATATTCGTTTCTGGGTATGAGATCTAATTTCTTCTTCAACCATTATAAATGAAAGGAGAGTTGTTTTAGTCTGTGACCAAATGCAGTGGTTTAATGCGAGTCAGTTTAGTTGACTTTATGACCGGATCGTAATCAATTTGCCCTTGCCCTGCTGCAACAAACGCTGTCTTCTTTTACAATGGAACTTCATCGATAATGGTGTGCTCTTCTTAAACGCCACTGTGGCCTGCGGGTTAGCGTTCATTTTCAAGATGAATCGTTAAGGTGTTGCTTCCTAAAAGTGGCGGTGACAGATTCGTGTAACATTTTTACATTTGATATGGCCCTGATAAGGCAATTCCGTACTGGCCAATCAGGATAGAGTTTAGAACATGCGTGGAAACCTCAAAAGTATTTATGTTCAAGTGTTGCTTACGGTTTAGTTTTCGCACTCTTGATTTTAATGTCCACCATTTTCTGAGATTCGATATATTATTTTTCTACCTAAGTACAGAATTTATAGTTGAGTAGTACTTTTAATGTTAATTCTAACATTGAATCTCCTGCGATAGTAGCAGTAATTTTAGAAAGCTTTCTTGCGGTTGGCCAAAAGCTAGTGACAAATGTACAAGATAGTAATTAAGGAATACTTAACAGATACCAATTTCACCACTTCCTTTTTCTTTGACATTTCATCAGATATCGAACTAGAAATCTCGATTTTACCACCAAACAAGGCTTCTGGACTATATTCATGCAAAGAGCATACTCGCTTCACCACTAGCTGAGCTTATCAACCTCTCTGTCCAAAGTGGAAAATATCCTTCAAAGCTAAAACATGCAAAAGTTATCCCGGTATACAGGGGCGACGATGAGACCGACGCTAGCAACTACCGTCCTATTTCACTACTCTCCGTCTTCAATAAAATCTTTGAAAAAATTATGTACAACCGATTGAATTCATACATCGAATATAATGAACTATAATTTGAAGGCCAGTATGGCTTCAGAGAGAAATTTTCCACTCAGCATGCACTTTTGGACATAGTAAATACAGTACAAACTAATTTGGACAAGAAAATGTTCACATGTGGTATTTTTCTCGATTTTAAAAAAGCGTTTGATACTGTCAATCACACTATTGTACTTGATAGATTGCACCATTATTGTACATGAGTGGTTCTCGTCGTACTAGACTAATCGAACGCAAACTTGAACGCATATTGA